AGAGGTATGGCGGCAAAGGTGCCGTGAAAGCCTCAGGGCCGACGAGCGTGGCACGAGCGCCCTGGTATTCCAGAAGGAGGCCAAAATAGCGGGTGGCGTACTCGCGGCTGCTCTGGATACGAGTGAGGTTGCGGTTGATGCGCTGCCTGTCAGGGCCCGCTCTGTGCCAGATGTCCTCGCACATGTCGACCGCGGTGCGCTGACGCAGGGCGTCGGTTGTGTCCTCAGACTCCTCCTGAAAGAGGTGATCGTACTGTGGCAGATGAAGCGTCGCCAGGATGTACTGGACGCAGTCCTCGAGCCATGCCCAGAACATGTCCTGGTTGTCCTCACCTGGTGCCCACGCCGCAGCACACGGTATGAGCCGGGCGCGGATCATCATCAGGTGCCAGAAAGCAGGGTCCTCCTCGGGTTCGCCCCTATCGCGCAGGGGAGTGGTGAGACCCGTAGGGCAATAGCGGGGCACAACAGCGGGGCTGAAGCCGCCACTGTGTGCCTGGCCTATGCCGCACGGACCCGCGGCAACGGTGCCGTTCACGATCGGGTCCAAAATGGTGCAGTGATCGTACTTGTAGATGCTGTCATCGTAGAGGAAGAAAAGGGTCCCACGTTCAGCGTGTCGCAGGAGAACCTCACCTCCATGCTGGGGCGCACCGCCTGAAGACGGGTGTGCTCCAGCGAGCGAGGGGAGGGCCAGGCTGCAGGCAAGGCGCCACACGATGGCGAGGCCTGGCGGGCGGCGCGAGCGATGAGCCAAAAGCTGCATGTCAGCACGCATCCTCAGATACCCCTGCATGCTCATGTGCATTGCAACAAACACACCCACAGCAAGATGACAGGTGTCCCTACACCAGATAGCTTGCTCGTGCTGCTGCCAAAACTGACATGATATGACAAGAAAGAGATACGACGCGAAGAGAGAAGAGATGCCTCTGAAGGCGCTTCCTCGGAGGGCTGAGGCTGGCTCTCTGAGGCACCTTCAATAGGGTTCCTGAGTGGCCCGACCCTTGTCTTTGCCTTTGTCAGCCCCTGGGGGCCCCGTCCCTGGGGTGACCTGGCCTGGCTGGTCAATCCACCCGCAGACCGCCACGGGATCGGCAACTGATGCAGCTTCCTCCTTTTTTTGTTTCGAGGGTGGCCACCTGTGGCAGGTGGATGGTGCCCCCCGTGAGGTGCCCGAGGAGGGCCTGGATGTCGCCACGCAGTGCAGCAGCTTCGGTAGTTGCCGTCTGTTGCTGAGTGACAACGGTGGCAAGCCCTCGTTCCAAACCTGAAACGTGCTCCGTGAGTGTGGCCTGGGATGAGAGAACGCCCGCAAGCTGAACCTGCATGTTATCCACCGTGTTGGCAAGCAGCTCGTGCTGTTGTTCCATGTGTTGGATGCGGGTCGTGGCGGCGTCTGACAGTTTAGGGGCCGTTGCGAAGCGTTCGCCGAGGGTGTTCAGTTCGCGAGATGCCACGCTGAATTCATCCCCTGATGAGAGGATCTCGACGTCGTCAGCGTCGCCTGGGACCTCGGCGGCTGTGGCAGCGTCCCCTTCCGTGTGGCCCCCGCCTTCAGCCGCCACCGTGCCAAGTTGCGGGTCATGACCACCTGGTCCTTGGACGGCCGTCTGCTCGGCAGCTCCATCCGTGCCGTGCGGGGGTGCAGAGGAGCTGCGGCCTGGGGCGCCGTGTGATCTTGCGTGCGGCGTGGCGTCGCGTTTCCCGCTGGAGGATCGGTGGCGCTTGGCTAAAGGCTCCTCCTTGGGGATCGGGAGCGGTGCGACGCCCGTGCCTTTGGGCGTGGCAGTCATGAGGTCGTGGAGGTAGGGGCTCTGGGCCGCTTTGGTTAGGAGTGTGCCCGTGGCGGGGCTGAAGCCGCCACCACGGGCGGGCGGCGTCACAGGCTCTGTGATAGTGTAGGGGTGACAATGGTAACGTTGTCCCTCTTCGGCACCACCTCAGCCAACGGGGCCTCGGTGATGCTCCACGGGATGGGGCACCCTGCGACCTGTACCGTATAAGTGGGTGGGGGGCGATGGGCGCGCACTAAGGCAAACTGAGCCGAAGTGGCTGGGTCCCAGGCGGTGTGGTAGACCTCACAGTCCCATTTGACGGACGGGCCCGTGAGAGTCTTAGCACGCTGGGTCAGCGTGGCGTGGCGTGCCGCAATGCCAGTGATGCGGTATCGCGTCTTGGCGAGGGTGGCTTCACAGCCACGGATGCTGACGGCAGCAGCCTTGGCGGCGTCTGACCCTCGTGCAGCACGGATCCCCAATAAGCCTGACTTGCCGTGCCTGACGACTCCTAGGGCCTTGAAGTCCACCGACTTCTGGAACGCATCTGCCATCGTGATGGGCTGGTCCTCAGGGAACCACACGGTCTGGTACTTGTCTGCAGTGGGCTCGTCTGCACCTACGTTGCTGAGGTCGTTGGTGGCGCCGAGTTGCCCTGAACCCGCCAAGACCTTGTCAACCGCTTGAAGACTGACGCCGAAGGTGGCAGCCAGGGACCTCTTTCCGACGCCCGATCCGTACCTGCCTAGGCTTTTGCAGGGTTCGAGGATGGTGACGGCTTTATAGTTGCCGTGGAAGAGGGCCTTGAAGGTGTCCTGGAGCTGACTATCGAGCTCCTGGCGGCGAGCGTCTTTCTTGGACTCCCTGTGCTTTTGGTTTTGGCGTGCCTTGTCCTGTGGAGCGGAGTCCCTTCGGAAAGGACCCTTGGCGCGTGGGCCACCGTTCACGGGGGCACCTCCCGAGAACTGATCCTCGAAGGCCTGATGCATGGAGGGGACTGCGGCGATGGCCTCGGTTTCATGTATGTCACCCGAATCCAGCAACCGGGGGGCGCAAACAAAAAAAAAAAAAAAACAAAATAAAAAGAAAAAAAAAAAATATAACAAAAAAAAAAAAAAGAAACATAAAAAAAACACAAAAAAAAAAAAAAAAAAGAAAGAAAAAAAAAGCAAAAAAAAACAAACAAAAAAAAAAAACGGATCGAATGGTGGCGACGGCTACTTTTTCCGTGCAGGCGACTTCCTTGGTGCCCAGCTGGTACACGGTCACGGGGACGTGCGTGTGGACCACTTTGGGCGCCTTGGGTGACGCTTCAGCACGGGGACGGCGAGCTCGGTACCGACGTAGTTATCGTTTTTTGGGCCCATGACAGCAATCGCAAGCTGACCCGTGGTACGCTTACCCTGCTCGAGGTGGTGCTGCAGCAGCCGTTCACCGCTCTCGTAGTCGTGGAGGCTGATACTGGGCTTGTACGTCTTGCCGTCGTCAAGTGATGTGGGTTCGGCCAGGACTGGGACCTTCCAGAAGGCCGGGTCAAAGGCAATGAATTGGGCGTCCGCAGCCTGAAGACGTGCGGACGCAGCTGGTGGGTGTGATGTGTCACCACCAATGCGCTTAGGCTTGCTGCGCTGGTGGTGATCCAGCGTGTAGCTGATCTGGTTGGCGGCACACATGCGGATCAAGGCGCTGCCGAGCTTCTTGGTGTTGGTCTTGTGCATGTCGTACGTGGCCTGCAGCTCGTCCGCGTTCAGCTCGGCGAGCCCGTTGTATGCGGCCGTGGGGCGGTCAGACCCCGCTTGCTTGAAAGCTGCAATGCAGTCCTGTTTGCGTTGGAGGAGAGACCCTTCAGCTGCAGGACGTGAGCTCGGCGGCTGCTTGGAAGCGCGACGGCGCTCCGGCTTGGCGGGGGCCATTGCGGCGGCCACTCTGGTGGGGGGGGATAGGAGGTGACGCGAATCAGTAGGGTCCTGCTGGGACCCCTCCGGTCTCGCGAGGCCTGGGAGTCGGACTCCGAGGCGGGGCGCTTCGCGTCGCGGCTGCGGTCTGAGTGCTGGGCACTCTCGAGCCGAGACTAGAGAGAGAGAGAGAGAGAGAGAGAGAGAGAGAGAGGAAGAGACGAGAAGAAGAGAGAGCGAGAACAAAAAAGAGAGAGAGAGAGAGAAGAGAGAGAGAGAGAGAGAGAGGAGGAAAGAGAGAGAGATGAAGAGAGAGAGAGAGAGGGTGGGGGGGGGGGGGGGAGAGAGAGAGAGAGAGAGAGGAGAGACAAAAAAAATAGAGAGAAAGAGAGAGAGAGGAGAAGAAAGAGAGAGAGAGAGAGAGAGAATATAAAGAAAAGAAATAAAGATAGACAAAAAACAAAAAAAGCGAGAGGAGAGGAGAGAGAGAGAAGAGAGGATACGATCCGAAAGAAAAGAGAGAGAGAGAGAGAGAGAGAGAGAGAGAGAGAGAGAGAGAGAGAGAGAGAGAGAGAGACTGGGATGAATACATCAAAAGGGCCCCCCCCGTCACGTTCTCCCTGTCCATGCGCTTCAGGAGCTGCTCGATCCCCTGGGCCTGCCAGCAGCCTGTCATATGGGAGAAGTTCTGTGCGGGCACTTGTTTGGGGCATGTTGCTTCAGGTCCATGATGCAGGCGAGATTGGCAATGCACTCATATTGCGTTGTCGGCCAATCGTTCATGCCATGGCTTGGAAGAGTCAGGCTCGCGAGCTCCGTCGTGCTAGCCGTGGTCCCACTCCGCGTCGCGCCTGTATTCGGCGCGCGGTTGGGATCGAACTCGTCTGGGATCTCGGGCTCACCTGGTTCTCCATATGGGCGGGGCCTACGGCCCGTAGTTGCCATCGCATTCATGAACTGCGGCATCATCTTCGTCTGCTTTATCATCTCAGGCGTCAATTTCGGCTTTCCTCTCTTTATTTTGAATACGTTTGGAACGTTGCTCATATCTCTTTCGTCTCGGGAGCTTTCTCTTCCATGCGTGCCGACGGTGAGGTGGTCGTAGAACCCGCGGGCAAAATGTGACCCGTTCTTCATTGGGGCCCCCCGTCTTGCAAAATTCAAGACGCTGAAACATTCGCGGACCTTCGGCTTGTCCCTTGCAGTTGTCGCCCGTGCTCTCTTTGGGTTAATGCCGGGCAAGTTCCCGATCGCCTCGGCAGCGTCACTTGTCGCGGCAGACACGACATTGATCTTCTTCTGTTTGCCGGCGCTTTTATCTTCTGAGGCCATGAACCTCTGGTGCGTATCATCTGTCGCATTGTCGAGGGCGGCTTGTCGATGGGCGCCCTGGCGATTGTGGTGGCATTGCTCACCGCTGTGACTGCGTGCTTTGCCCTTGCCTTGGCCGCCGCCGTGCTTGCCGCCGCCGCCGCGGGCGGGCCCCGATGAGGGCCGCGTCGACGCTGGCGTCGCAGACGTAGGGGCAACTGTGAGAGGATGGCAGATCGAGCGTACGAGTTGGCAGGGGTGTAGAATATGCGGTTGCGCGGGGGCGGGCGCGCACTCTCGCGGCTGGTCTCAGGTCGGGCACGTCCCCGCGCCGGCGGATTTTGGGCCAAAAATTAAAATGGCTGAAGATGCGCCAAACCAATCAGAACATATTCAGTATATCGTCCCCATAATTTTGTTTGTGACTATTTTTGAATATTCCTCCTGTAGAGGGGCGCGCCCAGCTCAAGGCCGGTCATGACTCGGTAGAGCGCAGCCTTCTCTCAGCTCGCCTCACGGGCCGCCATCGAAGTCCTGATGCGATTTCGCGAGCACGCGGCCCGCGCGCTTGATGTGGAGAGTAAACGTGTGGAAAGTGAGCTGGGGCTGCCACTCCTCGAGCAACAAATGGTTTAGCCGGCGAAGCCAGCCCGGCGATGGACGTCGGCAGGGCCGCGTAAGATCCCATTGGCACCACAACCGGCCAGATGATCCGCACGCCCGTCCAAGTATTGCCCATACATACTGACGTGACAAATTCACGCTGACGCGCAGCAGCGCGGCATGCTGCGCGACTCCTTGCCGGCGATGTGTGCCGGCCAAATCTTGCCCCGCGAGCTCGGCCAAGATGTCGAGGGTAACCGCGCGCGCGTGTGCCGCGACGCACTGCGATGCGGCAGCGGACGTGCGCAGCTGTTCCCAGATGCCGGATTGTAGGAGGCGAGGAGGGAGCGTGTCATGTGTGCTCCAATAATGTTGAAATTCAGCGTACTTGAGATCGTCACGTCTGTCATGCAAGATTTCAACCTTGGCGGGATAGGCGCATCAAGCAAGACTACCTCCGTCGGGCACCAACTCGCGTTGCAAGTCGTGCGTAGGTAGATTTGCACCCTCGCCTGTGGCGGCTGTGGCGCGTCGCATAAGCTCACTGGCGCACTCGCAGCCACGAGATACCGAAGCATCTTTGAAGAACTGCGAGACAGAGGCTTCCACGAACAATGTGGCAGGCTTCTATTTGCCACATGGGCACTGGTGTTGATGCTTTGCCAATCCTCGAAGAGATAGATGCACAGCCAAACCTCCACTCCTCCTGCATGCATGGTGGACCGCGCGTGCAACAGACAATAACAAACGTTATCACCAAGAAAGGAGGGATGGAAAACATGGGTGCGTGTGCAACATGCGCTGTCGCATGTTGTGATACGCCTGGATCTTTCTGATGAGGTCGAGTCTAAATTCTTTCGTGGAATATCGGGCTTTGCGAAATCTTGGAAGAGGCCCGATGCGCCTCGCCTGCGGAACACGATGGTTCCCTGTAGTTGGCTGGGTCGGGGGGTGGGGGTTTTCAACTGTGAGCAGCTCGTGCCGAGGCACGTGTTCAGTAGTGCCACGGGCAATTGGTAAACTGATGATGGGCCAAGGCGTGCAACGTTGCCACTGTTTATACCCAGAGCCTGTGCGCGTAGAGCCCAGCAGCCGTAGATGCTGCAAAATGATATTATTTTGTTTATCGTGGCGCGCCGCCGTGCCACGCATGCCTGCTAACTGTACGGCTGGCCCGGGCCTTGCCCAGACACCGTGGCCCACATGCAGTGGAGGCAGCAACGCAGAGCATGCTGCCCGTGCTGGAACGTCCGGGGGTAACCAACGTGGATGCTCCAACTGCAGTAAGTAATTGCGCCAGAGGAGGTACATGATACTGTCCCGAGAGTGGGCGCTTGCGACGCTGGCTTGACCACCTTGGGGGTATCGTGTGTATAATCCGTATGAACATGCTGCGTGTGAACGAAGTGCAACCCTTGGAAGGACACTCGGCGTGTAAACACATGCCCGCATGGGCTCGCTCACCTTTCCTTGGGCTAGCCAGGTGGCCGGGACACAACGGACGTCTCGCAACTGTTCAATCTTAAAACTGTCTGGGTATCCGTGTAGGGCCCAATCTCCGAAACCACGCCTGACCTTCTTGGCAGCGTCGTCCTCCATGGCACCGCTCGGGAGAAACGTGTGTGCACCATGCAATAAGCATCGGGGTACCCCGCATGTTCTTGATGCGTTTTCTTTCCAGTTTTGCATTCTGAGGTCGGGGGTGACTTGCCGGGGTCGACGAAAGGCCACTTCCATGAACATGCAATTTCCACATATATATACTTAAATAATATACAACACCTGTAAATTTATGTATATGGCGGACACCATAAAGGGATCTGAATAACCAACCGCGCCCTTTAGAGGGGAAATGAGGGGACGCTGCTGGTAGCATGTGAGATGGATGGAGACTGAGGCTGAGAGCGGGAATCACCATCGCAACGCTTCGCACCGTTCGAGGCTTATGTTTCCATTCGGAACTCACCAGGCCTCTGCAGGTTCGGACTGTCAACCGACGCTGGCACGTGTCGTGCCAGCGGTGTGTTTAGCTGATCGCGCTCCCTCTCCTCTCCTACATCAGGCCTACAATCCAGATGGTCGAAAGCAGAATGCTCATCGTGCACGGTGGGTGCATTTACAATACACGCTAGAAGGCAATTCGCAAGTACACAAAAGAGCAGGCCTATATATAGAGACAAAAAAGGGCGACATGTCGGGGGATGTCGATGATGAGTTCGGAGCGGTTCGGAGCGCGGGGCCAGCGCGCTGGAGAATGGGCTGTACGACCTGGGGAAGCCAAGGGCCTGCAGGCGAGCCCACCGAGGGCGCCAATCATGGCGCCGTGACCGCCCTGAGGCCTTGGCGCACCCTTGTCGTGCGAACTTTGCATGTCATTATTCACCGCGCTTGCCGCCTCGAGGAGGTGCTCAATGGCGTCACCTAGACGGTCGATCTGCTCCTCGGCCTTGAGCCTGCTGGTCGCCGCCGAATGCACGGCCTTCCCCACTTCCTTGCGCTACCTCTTGTTGCGCTCCAGCGCCCAATGCGAACAGGAAACCTGCTCTCCTACGACGAATTCATGTCGTGGCGACTCCTACGCCGGTCTCTGACACCGAGTGGATCGTTCAGCCTTGAACGATCGCGGCTTTTCGATGGCGCAAATCGCTCGATGTGCGTTCAACCGTGCTCCTGACCCAGTGCCCGCCGGGCGCCGGGTCCGCGGACGCTGTGCCAAGTGCAGACGCTTCTGATCGTGAATCCGCCGACCGCGTGCGACGTGGTTGAAGGGGAACTGGAACACACAAATAAATACACACAAATAAAAATATCCCCAATCTTTTCCCATATTTTCTGGGTTTTTGTCTTCCCCCCCACTTCCCATATTTTCCCATACTTTCTGGGAATCGCCGATTAATTGTGTCTGTGTGTTTTCTCCCCTCCTGAGTAGTGCCTGCCGCCTGCCGTGGTCGTGTGATGCTGCAGTCCTCTAGCTGGCACCCCCTTCGGTCTGCAGCAGTTGCCGGCCCATCCGCAGGCTGCTGTGGTGGAGGCCTCCCGCCTTTGCTCTGGATGGGGGTCGGTGGATCGCGCCGCATCGCCGATGCATCGCCCATGCATCGGCGATGCTTCGACGATGCATTGGCGACGACGGCGATGCATCGGCGACGCCGGCGTGGAGAAAATCGGGCTCCACATGGAGTTGCATCCCCGATGCATCGGCCATGCGGCGCGATCCACCGACCCACTCTACTCGGACCTCACTAGGGTTAGGGCGGGCCTGTCCCCCTACAGGCGGATCTTGGACCACAAATTTTTGAATACTGAAAAGATACTATAACACATATGCATGTTTTGAAAATCGTTCCCATACTTTTTTGGGGGCTATTTTTGAATGTTCCTCCTGTACAGGGACAGCCCCGACTTAACACTAGGGAGGCCTAGATTTGTGGATGCCATCACAATGGACACTCTAACAATCCGATCATTGAATTAACCATGTGCTGAACATGTGTAAACCATGTTATCAAAATGTATCAAACCTGTCTTTACATATTTAAAACATGTTTGCAACGATGTTTTAGACATCTGGAAATTATTTGGCAGATGCTCCCTATCCACTAATCGACTCCCACGAGCCTAGCTGCCTCGATGTGAGGCCTCTGCGCTCGCACGTCTGCTGCGCGTGCGAGCGCGTCGGAGCCGCTCTGCGGCGGGCTGGCGGTGGCGCCAAGACGGCACGCCCGGCGGGGCCCCTACGAATGCCTGGCCGCGTGCTGCAGCACACACGGCGTGGCCGGTGGGCGCGCGGGCGCGAGCGAGCCATGTTCGGGCCAACCGCTGGCACGACGGGGTGGTGGGGTGCCATGGGGTCCTATCGAGGAGGAGGAGGAGGAGGAGGAGGAGGAGGAGGAGGAGGAGGAGGAGGAGGAGGAGGAGCAGGAGGAGCATGAGGAGCTGGACGGCAGGGCCAGCGGCAGCGGCAGGGGCAGTGGCAGCAGCAGCAGCAGCAGCAGGCGAAGTCGCAGCCCAGGCAGCATGGACTGGCGATGGGCTGTCTGGAGGAGCCGCCCGTTGGCCGCCCCCAGTGCCCCAGGAGCCGCCCGTTGGCCGCCGGGTGCCGTGGGGTCCCGCCTGGAGGTGTGGGAGAGGGGCAGTCGCTCTGGCCCAGACCACGGCGCGCGGCACATCCTCGCGCCCCCTGGGGCGCAGAGGGCCTTTTCCCTGCCCGCCTCTTCTGGCTCCGTCCTGCCCTGCGACATCCGGCCGCCGCCACTGCCGCCGCCGCCGCCGCCCCCTCCGCGGCCTCCGCCGCTACCGCCCCTGCCCTGATCCCGCTGCCCTGCGCCACTGCCACTTCCACGACGATCGCCGCGACACTTGTCACCACGATCACGACGACCACGACGACCACCACGACCACGACCACAACGACGGCCACGACCACGGCGAAGACTACCATCACCATCGCCGTCACCATCACCGCTGCCGCTGCTGCGACGACCGCCGCAACGGCGCACCACGCCGCTGCTGCGGCTGCTCGGGCATTGGGCCCGAACACCATCACTTAGTTAATGAACGACGGCGT